TGGTTTCGAATTCTCTGAATTATGCTTACGGTTGACGAGATCTGAATGGTTCGAATTCTAAATCCGTCAGATCCGGCCACAATCGAACAACTTCTTGTTACGTAGATCTGAAGCCACTCCGCCAAAGCAACAGGAACTAAAATTCCTCCAGAGTAGGTCACAATCGCTCAGATCTGGATCCAACTCCCAAAGATCGAGTTTCGTTTTCACGAATTGGTCTGAATCCACGCGATATTGATCAATGATCAATCAATCTTCAACGTTTCCCACAGACGGCGCCAATTGAAGATGCAAGAAATTCATTCTTCCTTTCTCTCTCTAGAACTCTTACACTTCAATAGAAAAAATCCCCCTCCTCTATCCATTACTTCTCCTATTTATAGATACTTACAAACATTAATGGACTGCTAGATCTGGGCCCGTTCCTCTGTGAGTTTTGGTCATCTTTGATGGGTTATTCGCATTCGGCCTATATGGCAGTGTCTCTCTATGGGCTTGACCCATCTGCACGGACCGGATGTCGTGTTCGCGGGTCATATCCGGCCCATGTCACTTCGGGCCTCCTCAACGGGACTTTGATGGTTCAGGCTCATCTTGGGTGGGTAGTTCAACCTTATTATTAATTTGCTTCCCTGACCTAAGGGTGATGATGGAATTCCCATGGTCATTTGATTGGTTAGTGGAAGAAAAAGTTTCTATGAAAAGTTTTATTGTCTTTAAACAACAACCATTTTCTCTCTCTAAAAATGTTTTCATCTCAAAGGCAAATTCTCTCTCTAAAATCCAGGGTTTTTATTCGAATCAAACACTAGAATTTGATTTACTTTGTTAAATGAAAAAAAAAAAAAAAAAAATCTCTTCTAATTGATTTTGGTCTTTACCGCTATTGTTGATTGATCTTTACAATGACATTAATTTAAAAAATATTTACTAACGAATTTGATCATTACAGTGCTATTCACCTTAACCTCAAATTATCAAATAACCCTATACATTTAATGGTTGAGTTCACCAAAACTATTTTTCAATTAAAATGAAACTATTTCTCTATCGTTGTGATATTAGTTCTATACAATCCTTCTGAACTAAAATGTCTTTTGCACAATGATGAAAAAGATGGATAAAAGGGATATCTTTCGTCATATAACCCATTGTTAAACTCATGATTTTGGATCAATATGGTAAATCCCCAGCTTTAAAATTGAAATCTTGAATTTTATTGTGAAAACCACAGTCCAATTATATATATAAATCAATTAAACACTTGAAAGTTTGTAGTGAGACCTTATGTGTGGTGTGGATTTCAATTTAATTAAATAAGCTTTTATACCAAAATTTTAAAATGACCCCGTTGGTTTTAATATTTTAAGATGGCCCTGATATTAACAAGATGTTTATTTGGTGTAACGGCTGAGTTAGAAATTAATCCCATAAGCCACTACAACTTCACAATCATCTTATTGTGTTTTTTTAACTATAACTCTCAATCTCCTCTTCATGCATGAGCTGAAAGGAGTGCTATATCAAATTTCTTATAAAACATTTGCTTTGAAAATACCACTCACATTTGTATGTGTGTGTGTGTGTGTTTTTGTTTTTCCATTAATACTTCAAATAGGAGGAAGAAATTAAGACTGGAATAGTGCCTATTGTGTCTTTGTCTCCGATTAGTCTTGCACAAACACACACACTAGATTAATTAGCTGTTGTGATTGACATGTATGATTATACTCTTCTTTGTGTGCATGATTTGGTTCATTTAAATAATGTTGCAATATATAAAGATTGAATCTTTGAAGGAAAATGAGAGTTTTGAGTTAAACTTATTCGAATTTCATGTGAAGTCGCAAAGAGTGTTTTAATGAGTAAAGATTGAATCTTTAAATGAAAATACTTCAATCAGGGTATTTATTATATCACTAGACCTTTTAATGTATAAAGGTTGAATCTTATAAAGAAAATGAGAGTTTTTAATTAAACTTATTCGAGTTTTCTTTGACGTCACGAAGAGTGTTTAATGAGTAAAGATTAAGTCTATGAATGAAAATAACTCAATCAAGGTACTTATTATATTACTAGACTTTTTTAATGTATAAAGATTGAATCTTTGAAAGAAGAGTTAAGTTAAACTTATTCGAGTTTTCTATGAAGTCGTGAAGAGTGTTTTAATGAGTGAAGATTGAATATTTGAATGAAAATACCTTAATCAATGTACCTATTATATCACTTAACCTTTTTAATGTATAAAAAATTGAATCTTTAAAAGAAAATGAGAGTTTTGAGTTATACTTATTTGAGTTCCCTATGAAGTCGCGAAGAGTGTTTTAATGAGTAAAGATTGAATCTTTGAATGAAAATATCTCAATTAAGATACTTATTATATCACTAGACCTTTTTAATGTATAAAGATTGAATCTTTGAAAGAAAATAAGAGTTTTTAATTAAAGTTATTTGAATTTTCTTTGAAGCCACAATGAGTTTTTTAGTGAGTTCAGATTGAATCTTTGAATGAAAATATCTCAATCAAGGTACCTATTATGTCACTAGATCTTTTTAATATATAAAGATTGAATCTTTGAAGGAAAATGAAAATTTTGAATTAAACTTATTTGAATTCCCTATGAAGTCGTGAAAAGTGTTTCAATAAGTAAAAATTGAATCTTTTAATGAAAATACCTCAATTAAGGTACCTATTATCTCACTAGACCTTTTTAAAGTATAAAGATTGAATTTTTGATAGAAATTTTCGAGTTTTTAGTTAAACTTACTCGAGTTTTCTTTAACGACACGAAAAGTGTTTTAATGAGTAAAGATTGAATCTTTGAATGAAAATATCTCAATCAAGGTACATATTATGTCACTAGACCTTTTTAATGTATAAAGATTGAATCTTTGAAAGAAAATGAGAGTTTTTAGTTAAACTTATTCGAGTTCCCAATGAAGTCACGAAGAGTGTTTTAATGAGTAATGATTGAATTTTTGAATGAAAATACCTCAATCAAGGTAGCTATTATGCCACTAGACCTTTTTAATGTATAAAGATTGAATTTTTGAAAGAAAATGAGAGTTTTGAGTTAACTTATTCGAGTACCTTTTGATGTTATAAAGAGTGTTTTAACGAGTAAAGATTAAATCTTTAAATGAAAATACCTCAAGGTACCTATTATGTCACTAAAACTTTTTAATGTATAAAGATTAAATTTTTGAAAGAAAATCAGAATTTTGAGTTATACTTATTCGAGTTCCATATGAAGTCGTGAAAAGTGTTTTAATGAGTAAATATTGAATCTTTGTTTGAAAATACCTCAATCAAGGTACCTTTTAAGTCAGTAACCATTTTTAATGTATAAAGATTGAATCTTGAAAGAAAATGAGAGTTTTGTGTTAAAATTTATTTAGAATTCTCTTTAACGTCACGAAGAGTGTTTTAATGAGTACAGATTAAATTTTTGAATGAAAATATCTCAAGATACCTATTATGTTACTAGACCTTTTTAATATATAAAGATTGAATCTTTAAAATAAAATGAGAGTTTTGACAGATTTATAGCTCACTAAAATATGTCCAAACGGGTGATGGGACATATATAACTCAGATCAATGGAGGTGGCCAAGGGAGGATCTACGATGGAGGCGGCGGGTGGGGACAATTTCCTTGTGCGTACTCTTCCTAATGAAAAAAAGTCTCTTTAGGGTTAGATATATATATATATATATATATAGAGGTGTGTCATATAATGGTTCCGGATCTCAAATTAGAATGGCCCAATAAGGTGATGGGACGGATCTAGATATATTTTGCGACACGCACTCCGGCCCGTAATACCATCCAGAAGCCCACCCATTGAGATCTAATATTAGTCCACCCACCAAGATCACTTATTTATTTATTAATAATTGAGAAAAAGAAAAGTAAATTTTTTTATTATATATTTTAGTAAATTTATTTATTATATATTTCTTCTCTAATAATTGAGAAAAAGGAAGGTAAATTTATTTATTTATAAAAATAATATGCTAAAAAGCAATAACTATTATAAAATTTCATACCTGATGTCCAGTGGCAAAATTGATCAACAATTAACGAATTCATGGATTATTGCACTACGTAGATACTATGTTTTCCTACAAATTCTTATTATATATATAACATTAAAATATTGTGAAACAAATTTAAGTTACTAATAACAACATAGGTTGGGTTTGAATTAGCCTTTTAAAATCCAAATCCAAACTATTCAAGCTAATAAATTTTTTTTTCATTGCCAAAGGAACTCACATTGTCACACATCCATTTATTTATGTAGAGCATAATTTCTTCTTATTATTATCCACTTTGTCCCCATACAGACTAGAACTCTCAACCTTCTAATTTGGAATGCAAGAAAGTACCACTAAATTACAACATTTACTGTTTGAAATTTAAATTCTGACCTTCCACTTTTAAATATAGAAAATAGAGAAGACAACACTAAATTTCTAACATGAAGAATTCAATCGGGCTGTTATTTTCAGTCTAGTAGATTTTGTGAAGATACACAAGTTTTTAACTTAAAAATAAAGTTTTACAAAAAATTCATGTTAAAAAAAAAAAAATTATACAGGCAATTTTCTTAAATGTTGTTCACTGCTTTTGTAATTTTATTTATGCACTTTTTAAATATTTCTCCAATTAGTTGGTGTTTAGCAGGGAGAGAATGAAGAGAGATAGGATCAGAATCCTCTTAAATAACTGGTAATCCAAATTTGCAGAGCCTAGATTGGAACCGTCATTCAAATCCAAGAAAATTAAAAATAATCATGTTGCATTTGAGAGCACCAGATTGGTCCTTTGAATTCTCGGAATAAGAGGGTAGTTACTTACCTGCCCTTTCAGAGCAACTAAAATTACAAAATTGTCATTCCCTAAACAATTTGATATTCAACAACAAATGGAGAATCCTGTGGCCCTCCAATTCTAGTGCTGCAATAGTGCCGAGTTAGAAGTGTAATCATTCCAATGATATAAGATTATGTATCCATTGTCATGAAAAAAAGGTTATAAAGCTTCCACAGAGTTCCACAAACAATTAGGAACATTACACCACAGAGTTCCACAAACAAAGATGTGAGCAAAGGCAACATATGTAAGAAAACAATCAAGAATGTGAAATTTCAACAGAAATACGATCGAACTTTCTATTTTTAGAGGCCGCTTGTACGAGAAACATGGAGGATATACCTAAAACACTCTGGAATCCATCTTGACTCCAGTAGTATTGAAGAGAACGACAAACAATTGTTTCTAACGCTCTCTGTAGTATCAGATTCATCACAAACCTGCAAGAAACTCGACAAAGATCATAAAGGAGTTTTCGACAGCAGTATGATATGCCTACTTTTAGGCCAATTAACATGAACTGAATGAAGGTTTTCTGGCGACGAAATGCATTTTTTTCCTGAAACCAACCTCAGTAATGAGCATTATCAAACACCCAAGGTTCATGCAAGAAAAGCTCCCGGCCATTCATTTGCACTACTCCTGCAGCTATATCCTCTGCACGTTTCCTAGCAGCTTCAGCTTTTCTAGCTGATGCATCAGCATCCTACAAAACAAAACAAATACTATTTAGAGTAAACAGAACCCTCAATAAAGCAGGAGATTCTCACCCCCAAACCAAGATATGTCTAATTGCATGAATATTTAATCTTCGTGCAGTTTGCAGGAAAATTCTAACACCACGTAACAAAAATATGTTGACCAAAGCACTAGCTATTTTCTACGTAACAAGCTTACAGCAAAATGGTTATTTGTCACTAATGGTTCGTTTGGTTAGACGGAAACTAATGGTGTAAAGTGAAAGTAAAAGAAAGTGTGCAAGAAAATTATGGAAAATGACCATTTATGGTTTGAATAGCATGAACCCATAAAAGAAAGGGCAATCTTGTAAGTTTATAAAACTTTCTCAAGAAATCAAATTATTCTTGTGTTTTTTTGGAAGAAAATTTTATGGGAAAAGTAGGTAATTATGGAAAGTGATTTTCCCTAAAAAAAATTCTAACCAAACAAAGCCGAAGCAATATCTTTTTTGCATTGGCAACCATTAATGAGATGATAGTTTTTCATCTTACACAAATTTGTTTCAATTAGAACGCTATTTTATGTAAAGCTCAAACATGATATAGTAAGAAAATTTAAGACAACGTTTATAAAAATAAAAATGAAAGATCCACTATAGGCGCCAATAAAAGATGACACGATCCATATGCAACCCATGTATACAAAACTTGTACATTAACTCAACTACAGAAACTCATCTACAAGACACGGGTGCATCTTCCACCTGGTCATGACTGAATGACCAAAAAAAAAAACAGGGAATAGAAAAAAGAAACTGTATTGAGTCATTAGACATAGAACATGCACAGGCTACAAAGTAGGTTAGTTTCCCAGCTCAGTTGGACTCGGTTGATGTCCAACTTTTCTTTTTCCAAACATTTTCACGCGATTCTTTTCTCTCTCATTTCCAAGAAAAAAAATGGTACCTGTAAGTCCTAGCTAGTAAAAGTGAAAGCAAGGATCATCATCATTTTTCCCTTTATCGCATATGAATTTGGATCATTTCTAAATACTTCTCCGCAAGAGTTTTGGTTGGCCTCTTTGTTTATTGCTCTCTATGCAAACAAATTTACCTCTTCTTATCGGTGCATTCATAGGTCTTTGTCGGACATGATCAAACCACCTATGTCCAGTTTCTCTTATTTATTGCTATAACCGACGTCACGCCTAATTTTTCCCTCACACACTGATTATTAATCCTATTTTTTCTAATCAATCCTATCATCCATCTTAACATTTTCATTTCACTACATGAATGTACTGTTCTCATTTCTTTTTTGCTGTCCAATATGCTCCATATAATACAGGCCTGAAAAACGTCTTATAAAAATTTCTTTTAACTTAATTAGTATTCATTTGTCACATAGAACGCCACCTTGTTTACATATCATTAGGAAGTGCATTAACATAAATACAGCAGTAACAACACGCAATACAAAAGTGTGTAAACTATAAAAACAAGTCACAACTTATCTTCATTTTGTCTACACTGCTATCCTACTTATATCGTTCATCTATCTCCCATCTTTTTGTTTATAGATCCTAAATATCGGAAATGGCTACTTTTAGCAACCCTTGGTCTTAAACTATTATGTATTCTCTTAATCCTATTAATTTTTAGGCCTTTCATCTCTAAGACATTTCTCTATTTTTCAAATTTTATTGCTAAGTCTTCCAAACTAATTAAAGAAATATAAAATGACAAACCTAAGATTATTATCCACTTGCAACATCCACATTGCCAAAAAATCAGAGGGAGAAAGGGGGGGAAAAACACACACCTCAATCAAGCCATAATTAGGGACTGTAATACAAAGTTACGCAATTGTGCCCCTTCATAGTAGTTTTCAGGATCAAGTCCAACCACATTCTTAGCATTCCATTTCATAGGTAATACCCTGCTTTTAGCTTCCTAGTGTTATTGGTTTATCAGAGGTCATATCATTAACATTAACATTTGAGGAAAAAGAAAAAAGAGGAACGCCTAACCCATTACAAACTACAAGATTTCAATGCAATCCCCCCTGGCCCCCTTCCCAACTTTCTTTATTTTTGCACTAGTGCCCAGATCAAAATGGAAAGTTTTATATTATGCCAAAAGAAAACAACAAAGCATGAGCCTGAAACTTGAGGTCCAAAATTTACATAAGTTGTTTAGTAATATTGAAAAGCCAAGGCTAGCATAATCCTTACATAAAGCAAGATGGGTGACCCATATAACAATGACTACCTACAAGTACCAGCAAAATCTGAATCAACAACTTATAGAAAATGAGCAAAGATAGCACTTGATATCTTTAAATAATGAGGTTCCTCAACCTCAATGTTAATAATATAATCCAAGGAGGAAACATAGAAGATGATTTATACAGAAAAACCCAAATTTCCATATCCACGAGGCATAGTTTACCGCCTTGCAGTCTGTCATAACATGCACAGTCCAAACAGAAGGTTTCATAATCTCTATAAGGGATCCATTACATTAGACATGGTACAAAATTGTTCAACCAACTTCTCAATGGAAAATATTCTCCTACCACTGTCCCATAAAGATTGGACTCATTCCATTTTGCCTGTACTACAGTTTTATCCATTGTAACAATTTGAAGCGTGAAAATTTGTAACTCCATAGACGGGCACTATATCTGCCATAGGAGTGCACACCACTGGCACACGCTGAGCAAGTGCAAGGCAGAATTATGGGTTACAAGCACGATTCTATGTGTGATTGCTTCAAGACAAGATTCAACTATGGCTAAGAGTGGCAGTACATAGTGGGCAAACGGTGGAATTGGAGGCGCATGACTGCAATAGAACAGTGAGAGGGTGAAGTTGCATGCTCAAGACATGTTATATGCTGGCATAGCTTGGTGGTTGTGATAGGCCTTGGCCAGTCCTGTGGGTCCAACATGTAACGTAGGCACAATGATCCAAGTATGCAAGGTTGTTTAATTGGCTATGTTCCCCAAGATTTGGGCATGGCTGGAACACAAAGATGTAGGCAGTTATGGCTAGCACAGGACTGCAGGAAGACCAAAGTAAATTGTCTGTTCTTGACAATAAGTGTTCTTGACAGTAAGACCAAGCAACTGCGAGGAAGCTAACAAGGTCTTTCAGTAGCATTTACAGGTGCACCTCGGATGGATTGGACAGGTTGAGAGGTTGACCCAAGTCCAGTCTGAACTATAAAATCCTCAACCAAAGCCCAAGCCAAACCCAACAAGGCTAGTCTGAATTTATTCTCTCTAATTTAAGTTAGGCTCAGGTTGATCGAGTTATCCCATGAACAACTTATCTTTAACCAACGGTAATACATAGGTGGCAACATTAAATTCAATAACCCATGCTTGCGGGTAACCAAACCAAACTCACATGAAAGAGTTTTTGCAAGCATCCCCTTTATTTTGCACACATAACTTAGCATGGTTTCAAATTCTATTTATGTAACATCCTTTAATTCACCAACTCAAACCACCCTGACTACTTAGGGTGACAATTCACTAGTTCAAGACTTCAAGCATAACACCATAACACGATATCGTTTTCCAAGAATCCCCCTTTATTTTCCACGCCGTGTCAATGCCCCTGAACATAATGATATGCTTCCGTTATCAACAATGACCCTAAAGGAGATTTTCCTATTTTTCAAAGAACTCAGTAATGCCAGAGTAAGAAGATAGCCATTTATATAACACAGCGCACAAACTGGGTTCATTGCTGCTTTTAATTTTTCATGCTTTTTTCAATAGTAGTTATTCACATACAATCCCAAAACATGGACAACATAACCAACTACATATAAAATGATTATTGCAGCCCTTTGGTCTCATTCTAACCACATTGATCTCTTCTTGGAATCTGAAAATTCAATTTAATTTCGAGACCCTCTAGAATACCTTATTCTACAAAATAATCAACTTCTTGATTATTGCTAATATATACTAGTAATTGATTCAGTTCAAGGGACATCAAAAATCTATTGAAAATGTTGATGTAAATATATAGACAAATCAAAAAGTGTAGCTTTTGTGGACACAGCAACGATTAGCAAAGCATCAATCAAGTCAAAGAAACAGAATTTAAACCCGACAACGAATTTAAATTAAACTAATATATAAACAACAAGGAAGGAAAAAACACAAAAAAAAAAAAAAAAAAAAAAAAAAGCGAGAGAGATGACAATAAATAGAGAGAGAGACAGAGAGAGGACCTTCTGGCGTTTCCAAAGGAGAAACTGGGTCTCCGATACTCGATTCGGGTTAGGAGTAGAATTAGGGTCAGTTTGTTTCTGCTCTTCCGCCCCCATTATTTTCTCGCGTTCCAAACAGAATGATGGTAGGTGAATTGGCCTTCCACAGGGTCCTCTGTTGTTTTCAAGGCATGAATCAATTTTCTAAGGTGAAATTTGGTGAGCACAAGTAAATGTTCATTTATTTACGGTCAGTATTTTCCAACCTTGAGCATATTGGACTAGCGGTTTGACAATCACATAAAAATACTATGTTCACACTAATCGTGATTGTCAAAAAAAAAAAAAAAAAAAAAAAAAATCTAACAAATCTAACTCCCATGTCATCTTTTGCACATAAAAATATTATTAAATATTTAAATTTTTCTCATTTTTTTAAACCTTTTTAATCAAAGAATAATAAATAAATTAAAAGACCATTTTGCCTCTAACATTCAGAGAAAAAGAAATTGTGTTATTTAATTTTAGAGTCGTGATATATTTGAGATATATTTGCTTGACGACTAACTAATATTACCGAAAAAAATATTCAAAGTAAAATTATTGAATCTATAATAAATATATGTATATATATACTTATTTATAAATAAAAAAATTGACACTAACTAAGATTTAATTAATATATGCAGCATGCTTGTCAGAATTTTTACGTTAATATTAGTTAAATAATGCCTAAGGAAAATATTATTCATTTTAACAAATTCAAATATTATATATATATATATATATATATATATATATATATATATATATCCTTGAATAAGCATCTTATCAATAAATTTTTTAAAATTTAATAAATATCAGTTGCTTCCAATTCTTTCTAATAATATGTCTTTTACTATATATTAAGTTCTTTCTTCTTCTTTTTTTCAATCATGTCATTCTGTTGATCATGCTACCAATTAGAACAATAAATCATATTATTTGACAACAAAATGCTAATAAGGTTAGAATATAATAAAATGTTGATAATAAATAGAAAACTTATAGTAAGAAATTTAATGCATAGCTAATTATCTTTTTTAGTTATGGTTTGGTAAGAAATGAAAGAAACTTGGTTCAATCTTTTTAATTTTGTCAAATTACCAAGGACATGTTTGTCTCTCAATTACTATTATAGAGAGAGATTAAAATTGAAGTAAATGAATTTATTTACATATTTAAAGAGTAGTTTGGTTGATAAAGAATGAAGTAAAGAGTAGTGAAGGTTAGTTTGGTCCAATAAAATAACTTGATTTTTTTTTATTTAAAGATTTTTATCTTAATATATATAGTTTGGTTGATAAAGAATGAAGTAAAGAGCAATGAGAGTTAGTTTGGTCCAATAAAATAACTTGTAATTTTTTTATTTTTTTATTTTTAAAAAAGGTAATTTGTGGTTCAAATAGGTTAACCAACAAGTCAAAGGATAATAATGTCAATTAAAAGTGGAAGGAGACAATTAGGGGTATCTTTGTTAACTTTATCAAATCTGAGGAGTGTTATTGTTAAAAAAAATAAGTCAATTTGTATGTGCGCGTCAATAGGGCAAACCTCAAAAGTTTGAATGTAATTTACCCTTAAGAGAATTTACAAATTTGGCGCAATGACATTTTTATTGCGTAATACTAAAGGGTGTGTGATAGGCAACTCTCAAATTTGTGACAGGCAATTAGGGCTGCAAATGAACCGAGTCGAGCTTAGCTTGGGTCTGCTCGGACTCAGGCTCGGCTCGTGACGAGCTCAAAAACTTGAGCTCAAGCTCATCTTGATTTTAAAAGGTCGGACTCTGCTCGTTTAATAAAAATAATATATATTTTAAAAAAAACAAAAAAAAAACTTGTTCTCAAAATTAATAAGTATTTCACAAAAAAAAAATAAAAAAATAAATAAAAATAGAAAATCCGGAAGGTAAACTTATATTATAAATATAAGAATAATGTACATCAATCCCATAAGATAGACAAGCCCAAATTAAATAATACAGCCCAAATAAGACACCCCAATGATGCTTTCAACACAAATAAGGCATAACAAGCCCGAGCCTTGTTCACGAGCCTATGTTCACGAGCCTAGAAATTGAACTCGGCCTCAGCTCATTTACTAAATGAACGAGCCCAAGCCAAACTCGAGCTGTTCATGAACAGCTCAGTTTATTTGCAGCCCTACAGGTAACTCTCAAGTGGATAATGGTTCACAACACTATCCACTCCCTTATCGGGGCGCTTATTGAGAATTTATGTATCCATATGTGATATGAAAAAAAATGCCCTTCGATAGAATTAATAATGTTAATATAATTGTATTAAATATATAACTAAAAATTGTACATATTTGATATCCATATTAAATATACAATTAAATTTAAAATTTCTAAAATCTTTTTTATATATAGTCTTTAATCTTTAAATTTTTTTTGTATAAAAAAAAAAAAAAAAAAAAAAAAAAAAAAAAAAGTGTAAAGTTATAGTATATAGTTACAAATTTTGAATTAATTATTTAAAATTTGAAAAATTAAGTTACTGACTTTGCAAAAGAAAGGTAAAGGGTTTATATATTTGCAAATTAAATATTGTGAAAGACCTCTCCTTGTAATTTCCCTAGCTAATTCCAGAGACACCGTTGGATATCCCCACTAGCCCAGTTATGTGCTTAACATCATCAGCAGAATCTAAAATTAAAGGGCCGAATTGACTAGAACAATCTGGATTAGCTTCCTTCCCACGCACCATCATAACAATCTTTGACATGTGGACCAAAATTTTGCCCAAGATTTTGAACTTTCCTTACATTGCATATTAACATTGGTCAAATTAAAAGCTCACGTTTCAACTTTATCCAATTCTTATAATATCATCATTTGATAGTTATGTAACATATGAGTGTTTCAAAATGATAGGAAGTTCACCAAAATAAAACTAAAAGATCACCCTTTCACTGTTGTTGCCCCAAAAATGCAAAAAAATAATATGTAGAATGTAGATCAAATTTTAGTGTTAAGCCCCCCAACTCTTTGAAAATGGGTTCATACCAAATTTTTGAAGAGTTATTTAGGCTGATGGTAATACAAGCCGAAATGAGTAAAAGAATCTGTTAGCAAATTCCGTCTTTGGCCAAAAATATTGATAATTCCAATACTAAAATGTTGCCACTAAATGTTAAATTGAATATTGCAATCTGTATAGTAGCATTGACCAAATCAAAATTTTGGTCTTTGGTAGCACAAGGTAACATCAATATAGATACTAAAAATGAGTCTAGATGACTAAGATGTTATGATAGGCATCATTTAGATACCGAGTGCCAGAGTATCAGAATATTGATCCAACAAAGCAACTTCATGAATTCACTATGGTGACACAACTAGTAAAATGAATAAAAGTTGACTTTCGATATATATATATATATATATTTGCTTCATATTGTGGCTGTCTTAATGGCCAAGGAAGAACCATAAAATATTAAGCCAATATGGAAACCAGTAGATCCTCCTGGCTCACATGCCAACCAAACTAACAAACTTAATAGTTGGTGAGCTCCAACAATCCAGTTAAGATGTGAAATATGGAAATAAAATTTCACATATAAGAAGGAAAAACTCACCCACTAGTCTATAGACCTACGAGTGTTTGTGTCAAACTTTATACTTGCCGCCATTTTAGTAAAATTAATTGATACTCTTTTACGGCGGATTTTCCTTCGGTGTTGTATACCACAATGTCTAACTTTAAAATTTTTGGGGCGTAGAAGTGGTGTAGTTTATTCGGCTATAACCACCGGATCACTTCTTGCCCTCCGTGTCCTTATGAACATCACCTTCTCCGTCATTGCATCCAAGAATCTGATTCAAGCTTTCTTGGCCAACAAAGTGATCAAATTTGTTGCCATGCTCATCTATGTGATAATTGTGACCTTTTGGGGATTCAGAAAGTTGAAGCATTCTTTGAAGATCCGCTGCTAAATCTTGAAAAATACTTTTTTGATTTCCTGCAAAACCATTTAAACTTTTTGTTAAATTAACTTTTAAATCTTGTAAAACGGCTCCTTGGTTTGCAAAGGAGGCACTAACATTTTGTAGAGCCGTGACAACGGCTTTTACATCATCTTTCAACCACATAGAAGTCCCATCGAGCGTGCCAAAAATTGTTTGCACAATTTTCGGTTCTTGAGAAGTGCGGACATGCTAGAGTCCTTAACCTGAACTCAGGGTATGAGCCGAACCATATTCCCCATGTTGGATTGGTCCTGAAAATTAGTTAGGTGACTGTGAAGAGGTGGGGAAAACACCTCCTACTAGGTTAGCATTGCCTTGGTAACTGTTGATGCGAAAATCCTCGCAACTCAGAACCATGGTATTTACCTGCAAAACAAAAGGACGAAATCTTGAATGGCACCGATGGGGTGCCAGCCGAGGACTCTCCGACGATTAAGTTAGTACTTGTAATCGTATCATATAATAATTATGTAAATTCTGTTTAGGGGTTTTTTCTCGTACCTTCTTTAACGGCTTGGTGCCCTATTTATGGCTGTCGATTGGAATCAAATTGGTCCTACGGAAGATCCGCTTGTGCGAGATCAGAGGAGATCGTTTGTTGCCAAATTTGTCGGGGATATGATTTACTCCTTTAACTTTCTCAAATTGTGCCAAGGTTATCCTCACCCTGTTAAACCACGTCTTCATTCATTATCCTTGATAAGAAATGTCATCATTCTTATCCGATGGAAATCTTTATATCTGATAACGAAATATGTCGAAGAGGTCTGGCGGCTGGTCAAGGTATGTTATTTTTCCCTATCAGTTGCCCCCCATTCCCAAGCTTGCTTGTCTAGCTTTGGGAATGTAATTTTTTTTTTCTCTCGGCACTGTTCCCGAGGGAACAGTATAGGTGGGTACTATTCACTGGAATAGTAAATTTATTTATTATTTTTTTTGGCCTTGGGTACTCTTCCATTGGATAATTTTTTCCTTTGGGTACTATTTTTGGTATCCTTGGGTAATCTTCCCTCGGATACTATTTTTAGTACCTTTGGGTACTCTACCCCTGGGTACTATTTTTGGTACCTTTGGGTACTTTGCCCCTGGATACTATTTTTAGTACCCTTGGGTAATCTTCCCTTGGGTACTATTTTGAGTACCCTTGGGTAC